ATCGTATTGCTGATTAGGATCATTGTAGTAATAGTCTGATTCGGAATTATAGCCTACGGGGTTCTGAAACAAAAACAAAAGACGTGGAATATAGTGCTCGGTCGTGGCGGTTGGCGCTAAGTCCTTTCAAATCCATTCAAATGCAATATCAATTTAATCAATCAATCACACTGTAGTTCCCGCAGTTTCATCATGAAAGTCTACGGTGCCATCAAGTTCCACCATCCCTCACACTCTACAGTTCCTACCATTCGCAATCATCCATCCCACAGCTTCCTCCGTTCCTCTGCCGAGTCCTTCCAAATCCATTGATTCAATTAATCTGGGCAATCGTTCTAAACTTCCCTCGATTAAATCATCTGCTCTTACCAATCTATGAATTATGATATTCTCCCAGGCTAATACATCGCTTTAATCATGCTATCAAGGTACATTCACCAATCAATCCATCAATTTGAAATTGATTCACTCTACGCAATCAAATCAATCTTTCGCAAGTCATTCATCTTTTCTTTAATCTATCGGTCAAATGATAATCGCTGCGTTAAAACTGGGTAAATTCCAAATAATTTATTCACTCGGTCACTACATCATTCACTCACCGACACCCACTGAGACAACCCCCCCCCCACACACTCTCTCTCTCTCTCTCTCTCTCTCTCTCTCTCTCTCTCTCTCTCTCTCTCTCTCTCTCTCTCTCACACTCACACACACTCACACACACTCACACACACTCACACACACTCACACACACTCACACACACTCACACACACTCACACACACTCACACACACTCACACACACTCACACACACTCACACACACTCACACACACTCACACACACTCACACACACTCACACACACTCACACACACTCACACACACTCACACACACTCACACACACTCACACACACTCACACACACTCACACACACACACACACACACACACACACACACACACACACACACACACACATTTTAACAAAGGAAATATATAACGTTTTAAAGCAAGAAAACAGAAGCATACGTTTCTTTTTTAATCAATTAAGATGAAATTTCAGCAATAGAAAAAAGCCGACTGTGTGCGTATCTATATATATTTATAATATATTTATAGAATATATAACACAAATTATATAATATATATACAACATATAATATATACATATGTATATATATATATACAATATATGATATACATATAATATATACAGTACAAATAATATACTATATATATTTTTTTTTATTATATAATATATATGCAATATATAGTATCTATATAATATATAATAAACATATATACATATAATACATGAGAATTAAATTATGCAATTAAAAGAAAAAATCAATTGTTTCCCTTTCATAACCTTAGATTTATCAATAAAAATAAATGATTAAAGAATATACAATACCAAGCACATCATATTCCCATGCAATATATGCGTGGAAACGACCATCGCCATTACAAGTAAAAATAAGTAAATAATCAACTTAATCCAATAAAACAACTAAATTACTATTATATAATAATAATAATAATAATAATAATAATAATAATAATAATAATAATAATAATAACAACAATATAATAATAATATAACAAATACATAAAAAATAATAGCAATAATAATAACATAATTATAACAATAACATAATGATAACAATAACAATTCTATCAATTCTAACCATTAGGCCAACGAGCAAGGTGAGAAACCAAAATTATACACAATACCAACAAGCCAATGTGATAAGTGTAGACAATAAAAAAGGAATTTGGAAAAAAAAAAGTGAAAATAACCTGAAGTATTTCACATTACGTGCCTAAAAAACACTTGCGTAACACGTTAATGACATATATAACGACAGGACAATGGTTTTCGGCTGTACAACTGTATTCAGCACAAAGTTGGTGTACGAGAACGAACAGGTTTGACAAGAAAAAATATATATAGTGATGAGGATAATTTGTCGAATATTTATGGGCGGAAATGGACATCACAGAAGCAAGTGTATTTACTGGACGCAAATCTGATGAAATAACATCGATAAACGTAAATTGAACCTCTTGCTTTGTGAAGTTGTTCGCTCTTTTGTAAGACCTTTTCTACTTTTGTCGCAACGATCTCTGTTTACTACTAATAACTCTGACATCAAGAAGAGATAAATAAATTTCCGATAACTTGGAAATCACTAGTAGTAGTTAGCAGGCCACAATCTACTTTATTTCTCTCAGAGCGAGAAGAGAGAGAGAGAGAGAGAGAGAGAGAGAGAGAGAGAGAGAGAGAGAGAGAGAGAGAGAGAGAGAGAGAGAGAGAGAGAGAGAGAGAGAGAGAGAGAGAGAGAGAGAGAGAGAGAGAGAGAGAGAGAGAGATCAAAAGTCTTGCAAGATCAGGCGAATCTCGTGCAACATCGCGGATTGCAAAGTTTGTTTTAACCTCTCGATCTCCCCCCGCTAAGCCTGCTCGCCTGCACAACATTGCACACGTTCTTCCCTTCCCTCCCTCCCTCTCCCCCCCCCTCCCTTCTCTCCTCCCTCCGTACCTCCCCCTCTTCCTTCCTCCTTTCTTCCCTCCCTCCCTCCCTCCCTCCCTCCCTCATCCCCCTCTTATTCTTCACCTTTCCTCCTATCCCTCCCCCTCCCTTCCTCTAGCGTGGACTTGGGGTAGCGAGATTTAGCAAGACAGAAGAAAATGGAAAAAATAGTAAAAGAAAACGGGGTTCTATTACATAATGAGAATACTAGAGAAATTCTGGATCCTTACTTCGAAGATGGCGAGAGACGACAGGCGGGGAATCTCCCACTCCTCCCCTCGTCCGCTCTCCATCCCCCCCCCCCTCTCTTCCTGTCTCTGCCCCCCCCCCCCAACCCTTAATCGAAGGCACTTTCGTATCAAGCAAAAGGAATCAGCTGACGAGAAGGGACGGGAAGAGAAGGACAAAGACTACGTGTGTCAGCCATAGATCCACAGAGCCGGAGAACCAGCCTGACCCGCCTACGCCCTTTGTGACAAACACGGGGATATAATAAACATCTTTGTCACACCCGTTCTTACCACTGCAGCTGGTGCCTGTCCCGCTCCATTATTGCACCGATGAATATTTGCACTAAGGAGTACGAGTAACTTGAGCCTTTTCGAAAGTGAGAGGCAGACAGACACACCCAGATAGATAGGGAGAGGGAGAGGGAGAGGGGAGGGAGAGGGAAGGGGGGGAAGGGGGAGGGGGAGAGAGAGAGAGAGAGAGAGAGAGAGAGAGAGAGAGAGAGAGAGAGAGAGAGAGAGAGAGAGAGAGAGAGAGAGAGAGAGAGAGAGAACCAGCGGCAGAAAGATTAAAAGGTCACAAAAATAAATACGCGTTTTCTTGTCACAATAAACGGCACAATCAAACAAAACAACAGGCGTTTGCCCAACCGCACCGACACCAAGTGGAAACAGTGCTCTGGAGAGAGCACACGTTAAGAAGTCATCACAACACACGTCACCATAAAATACAACAATAAAAAGAGGGAAAACACCGTTAAAGCCAACACACACACGCGCGCGGACACGTACGATAAAACCGCTCCGAGCAGTTGCCGTTTTCTCCTCGATTAAGTAAGACGCGGTGAAACAACTGGCACAGCAGATACACATACAATACACTGATAATACTACACATCCCCCTCCCCACCAACCACTGTCTCTTTCTCTGTTTGGACGTTTGTCCAAACAAAGAGAGAGAGAGAGAGAGAGAGAGAGAGAGAGAGAGAGAGAGAGAGAGAGAGAGAGAGAGAGAGAGAGAGAGAGAGAGAGAGAGAGAGAGAATTAACCAACAAACACAGCAGAGGGCAACCAAAGCAGCGACAAACAGACGAGAGCAGGTGAGATCAGACGAGCAGAGGGCCGGGGCGACATAGCGAGCTTGTCCACAGGATAATCCCGCTGGTGTCCGAGCAAGCTACGCTTGGCCGGACTCGTCCTCCTCACCTGTCCGCTCGCTCAACCCGCCGCTCGACCTGCTTCACCTGGCTCACCTGGCGTGCCTCCCGCGACTTGCAACCTCGCATACCATCATCCGCCGATACCAAAATAAGCATTAATCAAGTGCACGGCAGGTATGTAAACAAACACACACACACACACACACGCACGCAGGCACACACACGCGTCTAAATACAGAAACATAAACCAAATTCTCTCACGGGATAAAGCGGCTCACTCGCTCGAAATCTCGTAAATCCAGCCTCACTCGCCTACGCACGCAAACGCACGCAACCACCCAAGGCCACAGAACATGCCGTCTGAGAAACCCACTCCCCCTCCCTTCGCCTCTTATCCCCTTCTCCCATTTCCCCCCTCACCTCTGCCTCATCCACTTCCTCACCCTTACTCATCCCCTACCCCTTCGCATTACCATCTGGATGATTCCATTACTTCTTCCCTTCCCCCTCTCCTTCCCCTTCTCCTTCCCCCTCTCCTTCCCCCTCTCCTTCCCCCTCTCCTTCCCCTTCTCCTTTCCCTTCTCCTCTCCTATCGCACTCCAAAAGATTACCATGTGAACAAAATATCAGGGCCACGTCAGGCATATTCTGTTGGAATAAGAGTAGGAAACGGAGGGAGGGGAAGGGAAGGAAAGGAGAAAGAGGATGCGAGGAAGAGAGAGGGGAGCGGAAGAGGAGTGGGAGAGAGGGGGAGAGGAAGAATAGTGGGAGAGAGGGGGAGAGGAAGAATAGTGGGAGAGAGGGGGAGAGGAAGAATAGTGGGAGAGAGGGGGAGAGGAAGAATAGTGGGAGAGAGGGGGAAGGTAGAGATAGAAGGAGAGAGAGAAGGAAGGGGAAAGAAAGAGAAAAAGAGAAAGAGCGAGGCTTCAAAGCTGCGCAGAAGCCAGTAACCTTTGGTAACTGCGCCGCCATTGTAACTTACCGGTTATCAATGTGCCGGGTAATTCCCCCCTCCCGCAAGCACCCTACCACAACACCCCCTCCTCCCCTATACTTCCCGTCCCTCCCTTAGCCCCCCCACCCCGCGCAATCACTCCCCCCCCCCCCTACCCGCGAAACAGTTATCGAGAATAGGAGGAGAAA